TCCAGAAAGCTTAGGAGCTCATGTCCTACAGTGGCATCAATAAGGATGTCGATGCGTGGCAAGGGATAGCTATCTTTGAAATAGGCTTTGTGGAAGTCCACGTAGAGGCACCACTTCTCATTGGCTTTTGTCACCATCACCACATTTGATAGCCAGTTCAGATAGACTACCTCCCTTACTGACCCGTTTGCCAGCAACTTTTTCACTTCTTTTTCCATGGCCTGGCCTTTCTCGACACTTATATTCCTCAGTTTTTGGCATATCAGTTTGTACTTAGGATCCACATTAAGTCGGTGGGTGGCCACTTCAAGATCGATGCCCTCCAGGTCTTTGTGGGACCAAGCGAAAACATCCGTGTTCCACCTAAGAAAGTTTACCAAGTGGGATGATTGTTTCTGAGAAAGTGAGGAGCCAACATAAATTCTCCTATCTGGAAGGCTCTCGTCCAGCCTAACTGGCTGAAGCTCTTCTATTGGTTCACCTCTTTCTATGGTTCTATCATCCTGAGTGTCAAGTACTTCGACTTGGAGTGTCTCTTGTGGCCTTCTGGCCTTCATAGAGGTCACACAACTTTCTCGGATAGAGACCCGATCTCCTTTGACTTCTCTGATTCCACTAGGGGTCGAGAAACAAAGGAATATGTGGTAGGTGGACGGCACTACCCTTAGGGTGTTGAGTGCAAGGCGTCCAAGAATGATGTTGTAGGTGGAGGGACAATCTAGTACAATGAAGTTCACCATGACGGTAGAGCTTCTTGGTGTTGCCCCTTGTCGCTCGAGAATGCAACAAGGGGCGTCCTGACGAATTGTAATCTCTCCCTGCCAAGGTAGAGGCTATCAAAGGCTAGTGCGAATAGAATATTGACTGAACTTCCGTTGTGGACCAGAATTCTCTTAACCTGGTAGTTGGCTACCATTATGGTTAAGACTAGAGGATCATCATGAGGGACTTGGTTTCCCTCAAGGTCTCTATTCAAAAAGGTGATGACCTCTTCTTTTTCATGTCGAGGTGTCTTCGTCGAGTGAGAGTCATGCGACTCTGCCTATCTAGATTTCCTGGTGTGGGCTTTCTTGGTGGATTTGGAGTCACCCCCTCCTCCTAACCCTCCTGAGATCATCTGAATTTCTCTAAGGGGTTATTAGCGCTCTCTGTCCTCCTAATTCCTATCAGGCGACGAGGCCTATCCTTTGCCAGCAACATACTGTCGTAACTGACCACGCTGAATAAAGTCCTTGATCTACTTCTTTAGCTCGAAATAGTTGTCAGTGTTGTGGCCATGTCGCGATGGAAGTAGTAGTATTTGTTGGGATTCCTACGATTTGGATCGGACTTCATCTTTCTTGGACATCATAGTGTAGGATCATCCTGTATGTGGAATAGGATGTGCTCTACTAAGTTATTGAGTGGTGTAAAGGCTGGTCGCTCCATCTGAGGTGCAGGATCGAGGCGGTCCTTAACAGAGATCATTTCTGTCTTCTTCCTCTTGTTTTCTACTTCTCCTTTGTTCTCGCGGGTGTCATTTTCTTTTCTCACCTCCTCAAGAGGACTCACCTCATCTGGCCTTAGTGACATCCACGAAATTCATGTACTTTTGTGCCCTTGACAGCAGCTCAGGCATGTTGGAGGGTGGCTTCTTCAAGATAGAGAATATGAAAATGGAGGAGCACATACTTGCAATAAAGGCAGTCATGATTACCTTATCATCTGGCTCCTCAATCTAGAGGGCTTTCTCTTTAAAATGAGTGAAGTAACTCGTAAGGCTTTCATCTCGATCTTACTTGATGGTGAGCAGGTGAGTAACTGACTTCTGATGGTAGCATCCCCCAATGAAGTGGGAGACGAAGGATTTTCTTAGCTTTGCAAGGGGGTAGATAGAAAAGGGTTTGAGCTTTGCAAATCATTTTTGTGCAAATCCCTTTAGGGTGGTAGGGAAGGCTCTGCACATGATCTTTTCAGGCACGTTGTGGAGCTACATGAGATACTTGTACGTGTCAAGATGGACAAGTGGATCTTTGGTGCCATCAAAGATCTCAATGAAAAACATCTTGAACTTCGTGGGTAAAGGGTAGTTGACAACATCTGCCACAAACATAGTGTCAATACGCCTTACCAGATAATCCACCGTCTCTGGCGTCTGTGCTTTGATGGTGTTGAGGGTATCACCAAGCTGGTTTTGTACCTCCTTAAGCTTTTCGTCTCATTAGTTAGAGGCATCCTCTATTGGATCATTGTAGTAGCTTTTCATGATCTACATATTAGTTCTCCCCTTATCCTCTTGCCTAGGATGGTCAGTAGAGTGTGGAGCAGGTACATGAGGAAGGGGAACATGTGAGGCACTTTGTGTGCTATAGGGGGACTCCCTGACGAGGGGGCGCCCTGGCACTGGGTGCCATGCTAGAGGGCCTTCTTGGCACCCAAAGTAGGGAGGTTGTGGTACCTCTCCTATTAGAGGGTGTGGTGTTCCCCCTATGAGTTGAGGGAGGATGCCTCCTGAGGCGAGCATCATTTGGAGAATTTGCTGGTTTTGACTCACCAGTAACTGCATAATCTCCAACAACTGTTGCTCGACCATAAGATTCGCTGCAATGAATGGTTTAGCTGGTGAAGGCGGAGACGAGGCCTCCTCCCGACAAGTTGGGTCGTTGTCTTTGGGTTGTTGGTTCATCAATCTGGTTGTAATTGCCATTGATTCGAAAGAAAGTAGCAAGGTGGTAGAAACCTCAGTCATTTTTCACAGACAACACCAAACTGATGATGTACAAAAATAGATTTATGCACAATCAACAGTCGAGTGTAAAATACAGAATAATCAATGAAGCAATTAATGCAGGAGATAAAGATTGAGTCAACACAAGCAACACACAAATGTATAGTAGTTCAGTTGTGGTGACCTACTCCACTTTCCAAGGCGACAACAGTGGGCAGAGAACTTTATTAATTAAGTAGATGGTGGGAGAGATAGTAAGGGTAAGCTCTAGGTGAGGTTGAGTAGTTATAAGAGAGATAGTCATGTAAAGGGTGTGTAAAGAGATATTCTTCTCATGGAGAGAGCTTATAATTTATAGGCATAGAACCTTAGTTGAGGCGGTGACGTGATGGATAGGTCACTAATCCTTCGGAGAGGATAAGTACGATTAGAGATAGTCTTGATCTTCATGAGTGGTTATCCTGGTAATTATTTCCAATGTGTGCTAATACTCCTGGATCCTTTGAACTTTGGACTAGACCGAACTCCATGAGATGGGTTTGACCTGCCTTTTAGCTGACTTGGGCTTATCTCATTAATTGGACTTGACTCAGTTGGATCTTGACTCATTAGACTCAAAGTTCTCTTGTAAAAAAGCCAAAATTTTGAAGAAATAATTTTTTTAAATTCTTTAATTAATTGTTATCATTGAATTAAAAATGAATCTCAACATCAAACGAAATTCATTATCAAGTCAATGATTATAACTTTTTAGGTCCCTAAATTAACAATCTCAAAACATTATTGTTAGATTAATATCTTATCATTTCCTTGACTTCATGGGTGAGGATATTATCACAAGGGTTGGGTGCATCCTTAGTTGTAAACCCAAGTGATAAAAGAGGTTATTTGCAAACTCAGACTCTTTAAATTTGAATTTTGATAATTCGATGTTTATGAAATTACCTTTAACTGGACCGAAAAAAAATTAGCCAACATTAATTTAACTAGACCGGAAACACAATAAATTGAATTAGTCAAATGCGTACCCTATTTGAACGCCGTAGGAATTTGAAATCATATAATAGAAACGCCGTTTTGTTTCATTTTCCACACAACCAAAAAGTCAATGAGCATGTTAGAACTTGCGGGCGAACATGATTTTTCTTTTCTTTTGTCCGATTCCTAAGAAAATGATTTTCACTGAAACCGGACGAATATTTTTTTTTTTCCACCGGTCACATTTGACAATGCTGTTCCATCTTGACGGCTGATTATATCTCCTGTGCAATGTTATCCCTATAATTCAAGGATTTAATTTAAAAAATTAATAAATTGTTATCGTTAATTAATAGTGGATCTGAGCTTTTTGAAATTGACTAGTCAAAATTTAATTGGGTCAAGCCCAATAAAATAAATAAGTCCAAGTCAACTAAAAGACAGGTCAAACTCAATTTGTGAATTCTACTTAATCTAAGATCTGAAGAATCCAAAAAGAATTACAGCATGTGGGGAGGAATCATTGGGATACATACCATCGAGGACCGAGACTATCTTAATTGTACTTATCTTTTATAACTATCATCTTCAAAGAATTAATATGCTCACACTCACATCACCACCTTATCATGCTTATAAATTGTAAGTCCTCTCCATATGAAAGGACACATTTTGGTATCTCACAACGGCTCTCTACAAATCCTTACACACATATAGCTTCTATCTCTTAGTTATTGTATCTCTTCCGGAACTAACCATTTCTCTCTCCCTGTACACCCTATTTCATCAATAAAAACCTCCTGGCCACCGTTATTGTTTCCCAGAGTGCAGTAGATTACTCGGACTGAATTACTATATATCTGTGTGTTAACCCGATATTTACTGTTTTGTCATTGATTACTTTATTAATTGTTTTATTTGTTATACTACATCACATACTCAACTGTTGATCTTGTGCGAGACCAATTTGTGCATCATCAGAACGGGTATACTAAAATTTTAATAATTATAATACATTAGGCATATAAATTAAGTACGAATAGTATTATGAATATCTTTTGCACAACCTTTTTTTTTAAGCTAAAGCACACGATTTGACAAACAATAATGCTACATATTTTTATTTATTTTATTAACCTAATTCATTCTTTGGACCATTAATAGATCCTAACTAATATTATGGGCTACTATAAATGCAATGATAAAAAAAAAACTACAAATTAGATGGATAAATTAATTCGAAATCGATTACTCTTTTACATAATGCATGTCTTTCTGATGCAATTTGATATCCAAATCTCTTCTAATATTTTTTTCACTCTTTTTTATGAGATTGTACTCTCCTCTGGCAATCCTCAAGGACCACGGCCATTGATTTGTAAGAAGAACCTTCATTGCTCAAAGCCTTCTCTGCACTGTGTTTCAGTTCTTTGACTCTATCCCTCATTGCCTTCCCTTCTGTGTACTGCATTAAGGTCCTCACCATCTTCTCTATCTCTTCCCTTCCCACTACTTTCTTCGTTGGCAACACTTCTGGCCGGACGGCGACGCCCAGCTCCTCCGTCAGCATGGTGGCGTTCAATCTTTGCTCAGCGTAGAGCGGCCATGCAATCATTGGGATGCCACTAGCTATGCTCTCCAAGGTGGAGTTCCAGCCACAGTGTGATAAAAATCCTCCAATTGATTGATGACTCAAGATTTCCACCTGTGGGCCCCACTGTGGGATCAACAGTCCAACGCTGTGGGTCCTAGTCAAGAACCCATCTGGTAAGTAGTCCAGGGTGCCATCAGAACCGTTCCCTACGGTGAAAAATGACCCATCGGCACCACCCTCGGTGGGTGGACGCACCACCCAAACAAACCTCTGCTGGCTCATTTCCAACCCCCAAGCCAACTCATTGATCTGCTGAGCGGACAATGTCCCTCCACTCCCAAAGGATATGTAGATCACTGACTCACTTGGTTGCACGTCAAGCCACTCAATCAGCCGACTCTTTGAACCGGCAGGTTCAGCCGGTCTTCTTAGAGGACCGATGTCGTAAACCGGTACCTTCACTACTGCCCGCAAGATTCCATTTTCTCTCAGAGCTTTGAGTGATATAGGCTCCAGATCTTCCCACGTGTTCAACAAAATCCCATCAGACAGCCTGAACTCGATCCCTAGCCGTAGGTACTCACGGTACTGTTCGTCGTTCCGATCCAGCATGGGATCAACCACATCTTCCGGTCGAACCGGCTTGCAACCCGGAATTTTCAGCGGCGTTCTTTGATCAACGTACTGACCTTCTATCTTCTCATCAAGAACTGGACAGTACGTAGTTAGAGCTGTAAACCATGCAGTTGAAGCAATATATACGTACTTGGGCATGTCAAACTCGTCGGCGACCGGCAACGCCTCAGTTCCAAACAGATCGACGATGAGGACATCGGGGCGAGGATTCATGGCGGCGATTGTGGACCGGAGGCCAGGAAGAACCGCTCGCATCATGATGCAGAGCTGTGTGACAATTGTGGTCTTGGGGTTCACTAGGCTAGAGATGTCTACCGGAGGGATTTCGATTATGTTGAGTTGATTCCGGTCAGTTAATGGTTTGAGAACTTTAGATTCTGCTGGTGATGAATTAGTTGCAGGCAGGAGGATGGTGATGTCAACGTTGTGGTGGCTAAGGAGTCGGTTGCCCAAGTTGAGGACCGGTATGAGGTGGCCCATACCTGGGCTTGATAGTATTGCTACATGAAGTTTTGAGTTTTCCATGGAGACCTGAGAGAGAGAGAGATGAGCAAATGATCGTGGATATGGAATGACTCTGGTTGAGCTTATATACAAGAGCAATGCAATTCAACTCCAGAAGTTAGGAAAAATTATTGGGTGTAATGGGAACCCGCGTGATCAGTGTGACGTGATATAAATATTCATAATCAGCTAAAACATAAGAAAGTGTTTATTATACTTAAAAAAAATTAATTTGATTTTTATAATTATTAAATAAAATAAATCTCAATAAATATTATGATCCATAATTAAGAGTGTGTTTAATATGATTTAAAAATAAGTATTTTTGAGACTTTTAATTTATAAAAAATATATTTTTTTTAAAAGTAGTGTTTGATTTAACTTATTAAAAACACTGTAAATATAATTTGAGCAAATAAATAAGTTAATAAAATAAAATAAAAATAATTAACTTGTAAAAATAGCTTCTCATTTTTTTCCGCTCCCCCGATACCTCTCTGCCAAAACCCTTCATGTAGCCTCTTTAATCTCGACGCCGACGACTGTAAGTTATTCTCTCAGCAGAGACAGTAGACAAGCGCCTGGTTGGTCTATCCCTCTTAAGCTGGGCGCTTCGTCTCCCTCTGACTTGCATGCTTGTTTCCTCTCGTTCCGGTGGAATCAAATGGAACAGAAATGGAGGTTTTTCAACTCGAGATTGCAGTTTTGTAGGAAAGTCCTTCTGATTGATGCCCACTATACCATAATAATCATCAATGGCACAAACTTTGAGTTTGGTTTCATTTGCCTCAAGTTCTGGAACCAGGATTTCACTTGGAAAATACGAAACATTTGTTTTGAGATCCTCATCCAGAATATTTTGTATCTGAGCTGTGCAAGACAATGAGGGGCCTCCTCGACGGCTGGTTGACATTATTCGAGTTGTGCCAGAAATCACTATGAAAATCACTATATTATTTTGGGGAAATAGTTTTTTTTTTTTTTTTTGATCCATGATTATTATGAAATCACTATATTATTTTACTTCCATAATTCATTGCTCATTCTCACATTTAATTTAGAGCAAAACTGGACAGTTTGATAAAATGTTCATTGCTCATTCTCACATTTAATTTAGAGCAAAACTGGACAGTTTGATAAAATGTCCACCAACTGTTTGATAAAATGACTTACATGTGCTATGGATTTTTTCTTATGCTTAAACTGGTGCACTATTTTGTTAGAATGCCCTCAAACTGGTAAGTTTCCCTTTGATAGAATGCCCTCAAACCGGTGCACTAGTTTGTTCGACTTCAATTGTTTTTCATGCTGCTGCCATGTTAGTTTCCCTTTGCTGTGTTTATCTTACCTCCTTTCCCCTGTTTCTTTTGTCCACTCAGTTCTTTTCCTTTGTTTGAAAGTTTTGAAAAATTAAGAACAATGAAATTTTTTCTAAGTGTATTTGATGTAGTGTAAACCAAATATTTAACTTAGGAAGTTCTTGTGGTTGTACATACATTAACTTGTCTATTGGTACTCACCTTTTATTTTTATTTTTCCCTTGCCTGATTTCTTCTTATTTAAGTGCAAGAATTTTATAGTTTACATGTTTTTCCCCCTAATTTGTACCATTGTTTCACCTGTTCTTTCAGCAAATAATTGGAAGGGGAGATAGCAGTGAACTTCAAGCTTACACTTGAGTTCATTAGGAAAATTGTATCACTTAGATGGGAGAGTGTAAGAAATAAGTAATGCCGTCGTAAAAGTACTTGTGATGAGGATTTGTCATCACAATACTTTTTGAACCATTACTTATTACACAATGAATATTATCGCAAAGGTGTCAAAAAAAAAAAAAAAAAACCTTCCTTGTAGTAATAATCAATTAGAGTGCCAGTTTGGAGTGTGAATTGTTTGACCATGTCTATCTTTATAATTTTATTCTTGAATGATTATACCATATCAATATTGTTGATATTGTGTAACCGTTACACCCAATGTTAACTCCAACAATCACCATAAATTAATTTAATTATGAGTCTCAATATTTATTAGAACACGCTATCTACTTTTAATGTTACACTTTACACGTATATACATACTTATATATGCACTTATATATATATATATATATATATATATATATATATATATATATATATATATATATATATATATATATATATATATACAAATATACATGAATCAATGTGCATTAAATATTAAAGTTCTTTTATAAAATTATGAGATATTTAATGCACCATTTTTCCTAAAATAGATATTTATGTGTTTATATCTAACTAGTGTACCTTTTTTTAATATATTTTTAATATGTACTTTTTATCAAATAAGTCTAATTTGGTACCAACTTCCAAAAACCCCAAGATTTTCTTCATGGATGTTACCCACCGGCACCAATTGATGGCTCTTTAATATGTTGCCTGGCAAAAAGTTTAAAAGGCCAGCACATAGAATCAACTGGCCCCTTTACTGACGTTAACGGGATAAGTAACAGGATAAGTTTTTTGAGGTCTAAAAATAATATTAAATTAAAATAATTTCAGTAACATTTTTTTAAATTTATTATGTTTTTAAGAACACTTTCTCTATTATCAAAAATATCATTGACAATCTTTTTCGTTTATATTCAAACATCAATGACACCTACTGCAATTAAACCATCATTTATAACAAAATTAAACTATCTCAAATATCAAAATTGTCGTTACCGACGTTAATAGGACAACTAACAGGATAAATTTTTGAGGTCTAAAAATAATATTAAATTAAAATAATTTCAGTCACACTTTTTCTAATTTATTATATCTTTAAGGAGACTCTCTCTATTATTAAAATTATCACTGACAATCTTTTTAGTTTATATTTAAACATCACTAAATTCTTACTGCCATTAAACCATCATTTATAACAAAATTAAACTATTTCAAATATTAAAGTTGCCCTTACATAAATCTTAAACAATTTTGTTTACATAAAATTTGATTAAAATTTGACTCGATTAAAATATTTTTACATATTAAGAATCGAATTGATTAAATTTTTTTATATATTTTAAAATTTGAATCGATTAAAATTCGATTCGATTCGAATTGATTAAATTTTAATTTTTTTTACGTATTAAAATTTGAGTCTATTAAAAGTCTTTTTTACATATTAAAATTCGAGTCAATTTGAACTCTACTCGAACTGTTAATCCTGATTAAAATTCGCTTCGAATTGATTAAGATTTATATTTTTTTTATTTATTAAAATTCTATTCAAGTTTATTAAAATATAATTTTTATGTATTAAAATTTGAGTCAATTAAAATTTATATTTTTTTTATGTATAAAAAATAAGGTCGATTAAAATTTAATGCGAGTTGATTAAAATTTGAGTTGAGCCTCGAATAGAATTTTAATCGGTTCAAATTTTAATTCGTAAAAAAATATAATTTTGTAATCGACTCAAATTTTAATTAGATTGAATTGAATTTTATTCGATTCGAATTTTAATACGTAAAAAAATTAAAAAATAAAAAAGATTTATTGAAGATATGTCTATCTAAAAAAGGTACGGATGAAATTTTTTATAAAATATATTATGGACAATTTAATAAAAATGTATTTTAATTAATACCTTTAATCTAACATGGGGTGTGATTGAAGTTTCAAAAAATAAATGAGCTTCTCTTGAAGATATGTCAAGGTGTGGGTGAAATTTTTCTTACGAATTTTATTAAGATGTAACGTACTCACTGAACCCATTAGGTGAGTAATTTTATTAAGATGTAACGTACGAATTTTATTTGTCTTTTTAATAAAAAATAATATCATTGGGACTAAAAAATTAAATTAAATTAAATTAATTTTGTTGAGATATAGAAGTTGATTTGACCTACTAATATTATATAACAATAATTTTGAATTTTTTTTATTGGTACTATAAAACTTCAAATATTATAATATTTTTGAATTTTGAATTTTTTACAGGTAAATTTCAGGTTGAGTCTCCAGTCCAGTTGGAATCTTATCCCGAAAATACACTTAGTCAATTTTTGGATGCAATTTTTGGACGTTCAGTCAAGGGGCAACTGATTCTATGTGCTGGACTTTTAAACTTTTTACCTGACAATATAGTGAAGGGTCATCATTTAATTGGATGCACACACCATGTGTGCCAAGCCGCCGGCGTGGTGTTCAGTACCCATGAAAAAAATTTCTCGGGCGGAACTCCATTTGGTTATGTTTTTTTTTTTTCCGCCGGTGGAACTAAATTTTGTTGGCTTTTAGCAAACCACAAGTTCTGTTTATACGACCGGAGCATCTATGTCGGGACAAACTGGAAAGAAATTTGATGTTGAGTTATGATATGCTGGTTGTTGAGTTTGGCTTGAATTAATTATCATATAGTATCTTCAAAATTTGGTTGATGTGTCTAAATTCTTATTTTGCAGTGTCACTTTGCTATATTTTCACCACAAACATATGAGCAATGCTATAATGATTTAATTTAAGGACTTAATCAAAGATATAATTATTGAATTAGTTATACAATAATGTTATTGAGACTTAAAAATAACTTAATTTTTTTTCTTGTAAGTAAAAAATAACTTAATTTATTGATATAATAATGTGATAAGTGATAAAATCTAAAAATTACGGCCACAACAGCATTATTAGACCACATAACTGTCACATCATTAAATTAACAAATTAGGTTAATTTTTTACATCGTTATAGTGTTTACTTGTAAGATGTGTTTGATATGTGAAATTAAACCTTGGAATGAAATATTCTTAGAAAATGTTCATTCCTATGTTTGGTTGGCAAGAATTAAAATTCATTGCTATTCCCAAGGAAGGAATAGTGAATCCCACAGATCATGAGATTAGGCATTACCAAAGTTACAGTGGTATTTTTTTTTTTATTTTTTTTAAAGGTAAAATCTTGATAAGGTAGGGGAAAATTGAGCAAAAGACCGGTTACAGTGGTATTTTCCATTCCATTCTCGCCCCAGGTACGCCAAATCCTTTTGCCAAAAAAGAAAAAGAAAAACCGATGGATTCTTTCCCTTCTCGATTATGGCTCTCGCTTCTCACATCTTGCTTTGCTCACTCTTCTTCCTAAATAATGCCCATGGCACTCCACCCCTCTCCTCATCCCTTACCATTCACTTTCTGCCTCTCTCTCGTCTATCTATGAAGCAAGGGGTCACACAGGCGACGAGGACCAGACTATATTAGCGTAAATTCGACCAATCTCATGTAAGTGATATGGAACTAGATTTTATGCATATGAAACCATTCATAATTGTAATTGGTGAATTATGATTCATAAGGGACCTAGTTTTTAGAAAAACTAGTGAAACATTTATAATGCAGACTAGGGGTTGTCAAAATGCCTGACATAAATAAAAGAGAAATT